GGTGGGGGGGGGTCTTCGACCTGAAAAATCAGGGGTTAGGATTTGCACCCGGTCGAAAGAAACCTTGCTATCGCAAGAGTAACTCCAGCGAGCTTCGCTAGTTTTCGTGATTTCCCTCTAGCTTTGTCAGAAAAGCAAGGAACGAAAGGGTTCAGTGTGTGTGGGGTGGGGGGGGTTTGGGGGTACAGGCCCGAAGGCACTTTCTCAAAAAACCGAAGTAGGCGCACCCTTGACTGAAAAGCCTCAGTTACACCTAAAAACCCCTTGGAAAAACGAGAAACGACTTAAAAAACGAAGAGCAACAGCAGGAAGAAGAAGCCGAAAAAGATGGGTGGGTCCTTGTGTACCCCCCTCCAGACCCACCCGATTCTTTTCCAACATATTCTGCAATGCTTGCGCATATTTATATACTCAAAAAGAATCTGCGTGTGAATTGACATATGGAATAAATAAAAATCAAAAAGGTTCCTGCGTACCTGGTAGTTCAACCCCACCCTATTAGGTTGAAGGATGTTGGAGGCCCTTGCTCTTCAATCTGTGACGTGGCAATCCCGTTTGCTGAAGATCATTCCATTTCAAAGACTTGGTTTGAGCAAAGAACAATTTCATCATTAAAACATAGAAACTTCAATGTGAATGTATGTATGATATACTCTACAGTCCTCCAACATTCAATAAAGAATCTGACCCCACCCCTGACATACCCTGACCCTACCCCTTACACAAAAAGAATCCCAAAAAAGAAGAGTCCACCAAAAAGATTCCGGGAACTAGTTGGTACCCAACATTCTTTTCTTAAGGTACCCCCGTCGAAAAGGGTGATTACTTAGCTGTCTCGCCTGAAACCTATGAAGCCTATGACTACTTAGCCGCATGAAAATGTATGTCATTCTTTGTTGTCCGATCTCAGTAAGCTCTGCGGCGTAGGATCGGCGTTCTCGTGCAAGACCGTGGATCGTGGAAGGATCAGGTGCAAGACTTACGGGCATGTGCACATGCGGCGCCCCTCGTCGGGGATTACACCGCAGCCCACAGTGGGACTCTGTGGCGAAACACGCTTAGATCAAGGCTTGCAAGAGCGGTAGCAGTTATGATCTCCCAGTGCGTTAGCCCTTTAGGTGAATACTTAGCACTTGACTTGATGGAACGGCAAAAGGGCTGGGTCGGAGAAAAGAATTGTTGGAACAAGCGCATTAGTGCATCCACCGAAAAAAACATAGCTTTGTTAGCCAGCGTTTGCTTGTCGGCCGCTGGCCCCCTGCACTGTACAATTAAATTCCTTAGAAACAGGTGGTGACACACACACACACAAACACACATCAAAAAAGAAACTTGCAGGCTCTCAAATGCGGATGCACTCCAATGTCGTGACCAAACTGCAGGTCCTTGTCGCCATGAATAGACGTGCAAGGTAGACCTAGCGGCAAACTAGTTCATCAAGTTGGAGGCCATCGCTCTCAGGTTGGAGGCCATCGCTAGTAGGCTCCTTTTGCTATTAGGTGTTGTATAGGGATTCTATTTGCAATTATATAGGCCATTTGGGCTTCGTTGAGACTGCAGCATAGACGTTCATGGCGTCATGGACCCGCACTTTGAAGCCCTTTCTTTTGCCCGCACCCTGCCGGTGCAACTCGTTCGACAAGTTCTCACACATCCTCTTGGTATTGCAGAAGACGAGCGCCTCACCAGGTTGAGTTGGGAGATGGGGCAGTTGTATTCGGACGGCTGGATGAGAGTTATGTCACACTGCAAATAGACTGCATAAATAAAACAAATTACAGCAAAACCAGAAGTCTCATGAGGAATGAACCTCAAACAATCTTTGTCATAGTACACTAGCAGTATCACTCCGTTTTCCTCCGAGCATGATCATTCAGCGCCATAGTTGTGTCATGTTGTGCCAATCATCTGCCCCTATCATTTGAGGCCGCTTTGCCTTGCCGCTTGCACTTGGAGTGGTCAGGCCCGCCTTGCCAGTCAAGTCAAGGGGCACCCAGCAATGTCAATAAATTCCTCTTTTGCAATGTCTTAACAAATTCATACAAATTCCATCAAATTCCAACACACGGAGACTCCTTGCAGCTCTATGGTTGGAACCCTGGTAAGTCTCTTGTACAACTCCGTATCGAGAGACACGCCACTTGAACAAAAACGGTGATAGACTTGCATTGACTTGCATGAATGACTGCTTGCAAACAGATAGGCTATTCATGGCAACTCCTTGATTCTCGCCCGAAGCTGGCATCTGAAATTACAATCTGTGTCAGTTTCATCGAGCACATGGCCTCCCGCAAAGTCGTGACGATCTCCCGGTTCTTATTGAAGGCATCCATGACTCTCACAATCTGGGTGATGTCCTCCAGAAACAAGCTGCGCTTGGTATGTATATATATAATATAACTATATGAAATCACATGAACAGGTGCACAAACCTTGGATCTCAAGCTGTGAGTCCCGTCAGGCTCCTGGTTGCCTTTCAAGACTTCTCGGTTTCCAATCATGACTTTGTACGGCCTGTCAATTCACCGCGCACATAGATGGACGGAAGAAGTTCGAACAGGCAAACAGCAATTCCTGTTGACCCCCACCTGTTCAAAATCTCTGATGCCAACTTCCGCACCTGCAAATATCGTACACACACACATTCCAAACAAAGACATGTCAAATCAAGGTGCGATGGTCCCGCTGCCTCCTTTGGCCATGTTGCAGTGAAGAAGAGCGTGTGGCGCTTGCGTGGGAGCTGGCAGAAGTTTCGAAGAATGACGATGGACAATGAAGAATGACGATCTTCTTGATGGATCGTGCCTTGGCAAGGATCTTGCGGATTTGTGGCTCAAATCCCATATCCAGCATCCGGTCAGCCTGCCAAGAGCCAAACTTTGTGATAAAAGCCAAAGAAGTAGCATCGATAAAACAAACAACAATATAAACACAAATAAATAACTATATTCATAAATAACATATACTGTACATGTATATGTATAACATATTAGATTGTCTAATTTATCTAGCTTCCCTTCCTCTTCGGTCTTCACCGCCCACCCGCTTCCTACCCTCCTACCCCGAAAAGAGCAGAGCAGAGCGGAGCAGATGAGTGGTTGTAGTGACAGTTCTTCTTCACAACTCTTCCGATTTATTTTGACTTTTATGAACATTCATATAGCTTTCATATAACTTGTTTATAGCTTTATACAGCTCATTAATATAACCGTCACAATCTTTGCTGAAAGCACTGCCAGACTCAACCCTCTTTCGATGTTAGCAAAGTGAACCTCTGGCGGGCAGCTCACCTGGCCGATTCTATGCGAGCCTCATCCAGGACGAGCTTCAACACGCCATCCAATCGAACCTAAAGTCGGAGAACGTCCAATCATTGCGGTAGCTGGAAATAGCTTGAACATATACAGTATTATACAGTAAGAAGGGAAATGGAGAGGAACAAAAAGAAGGTGAACTGCCCAGTCACCTCCAAAGTCTGGGCTTGGCACCTGCCCACCTTCAAGGAAATCATTGAGCCGACCGGGGCAGGCCACAATGGTACTGAGTGTCCAGGCTTTCTGAAGGCATCTGCCATACAATCAAACAAAGTCACAGAGTCGCACACTCTAAAACCTACAGGAGGAAGTTAGGGGCTCTCAAAATTTTTGTAAGGAGAAGAGTACAGCGGTAGGTGCCATCTTGTTTGTATCCTCAGGCACATGCTGGCAACCTTGACGATATCTAGCCATTTGTTCACCTTTCGGTGCACCACCATACCTGCAGCGCGACAACATTACATGAACCCCTGCCAACAGCGCCTTGCTGCGACTACACACCCGAGGTCGATGCATGGCAACACAGCGGAAACCAAGGCACTTTCCGAACCGCTGTGCCTAGAAGAGACAAAATAGACACGAACATGTCTGAAGCTTTCTGAAGTGGCTTTAGTGACTTGTGCACAGCGAATCAAAACTCGAGGACTCGAGGGCTTGCCTCTGCCTCCGTCTGCTGTGCAAGCTCTCGCCTGGATGGAGATTTTCACTATCAGATTGTCACCCAACAGCCGGTCAAGAATGACTTTGAGTGTCAGGTATATCGACATCAACATTTAGCGTGTGTTAACCAAGTTTTTCACTGTGTCCTGGGTCGCGCACGTTGGAGACATCACAAGCGCACCAGGACCATCTCGTTCAGGGCGGTGGTTCTGCCATGCACAAAAACAATGGAGCAATGCCAAATACAAATGGACAAAAAAAATAGATGTTAAAAACACAACATATGTAATACATATATAATTATACATTGCCGGAACATACTGTTCTTGTAATCTGAGAGGGTACTTGCAAACTACCGACAATGATCTTGCTCAAGTGCTGTGCAGCTGCCTCCTCTACCATCTGTGCAAAAGCTGGCAAGAGAAATGCCTCAATTATATGCCAACACAAACGGACTTGCATGTCTCACGGATACTTGATGATCTGTCGCTCGCTTGGTGACCAGGCTAGAGTCTTTCCACTGCCAGTGGCGGCTATGCCTTCGAAACAAGGTTATCAAGGCTGGGGGCCATATGATGCGGAAACAAATGGCTTGTACTTCAGCTACCGGTGTGGCCATGCCTATGATGTCCTTACCCCGCAAGCCCAAGGGCCAGGTGTAGGCCTGTGGCTGAAAATAAATCTGCCTTTAGAACTTGCTGCAGATTGACATTTCGAGGCCAAAGCGACTCGCTGTTGAGGCTGCTTCCATCTCTTTTGGTTTACATTCATTGCATTCGGTATTCCTAAGCCCACCTGGATCTGCGAAGGTGAAGGAAAGCCAGCGTTCCTGCCATACCCAAAAGCTTGGCTATAAGCTTGGCTGCTAGAGACAGTTGGACAACACAACATTCAATAGCAAGAAACAAAGTTTGACGTGTCATACTTGGAACTTACTATATAACAAATACAACAGCAAATCGAAGGCTCACTTGAGCTCTTCTCGGATTTCACGAGGAAAATCACGAGCATCTTCAAACGTGGCATACCTTGGGTGCTCGAACTGTTGTACACACACATATGCAAAGCTGCAAATGGACAAAAAGCAAGAATGGTGTGTTTCAACCTACTGACATCATCTATATCTATCTCAGCAATTGTGCCCAATGCAACTTGCTCTTCCAATGTGAGGCATTGGAATCTGTCTCTTGGGTATGAGCCTGTCTGCTTCGATAGGCTCCTGTTTTGTTTCAATCTTTAAATTTGATGAAATTGAGGACTCTGCTGCTATGCTTCAATGTTGTTCTAGTTGAGTCCTCATCTGGGTTGAGAACCTGCACTTCATCATCTTGAGCAGTTTTACCAGTGGTGAACCCTCTGCCAGCAGCCTGACGCCGAGCAACAACTTTTTGCACCAGGTCAATTCAATGTGCCTCACTTGCAAATGGCTTTATACATATATATATACACATATTTATACATGGCTTCACCATGTTTCACAATGTTCACCATTTCAAGTCTTGCGCAGTGGCACTGCAGTTGTATTTTTGCGGCGCGTTGTTTGTGGCCCGCACGCCTCACAGGCCTCCGCCAGGGTTAAGGGCCGACCCTCTGGAAACTTCATTGGTGACCTGGGAGCCTAGTCACGACAAGCGAGGGTATTGAAGAGAAGGGACCAACAAAAGGAATTGTTTTTGTGCTCGGTTCATCTCGTTGAATCTAATTGCCATTGCCCACACATGGCCAAGCAAGACTTGGGCTGCAGCAGGGACCGCCCACGCAGGACTCCTGGCTGACTGCTGCAGAAGCTATCAAGTTTAATCTTTTGAACTCAGTCCACGCGGTCAAACATGTCAGGTTTTCACTAATTGGTGCAAAGTATCTATTTATTTATTGCCCAGGCTAGTTTTTGACAAACTTGAACAGGTGTGCGCACAACAAGCGATCGTCAAGTTCCGCCGAAGAGCTTGCACCACCTTGTGCCTGGGGGCTTTTTTCGTCTTGCTCGTTTGACATCATGTCACCATATTCATTTGGGTGACGCAGAATTCACCGCTGGGTAAAATTTCAAAGTGTAGTTCAATGGCCAGCCCCGGGAGCCAACAAAGACTCTATCCCTTGAATTGCTGGTCGATTTACGTTTTTGTTTTTGTCCGGAGTACGAACCTTCCAGCTTCAATCCCTTTGGTTGCTCCCCGACGATCCCAGATTCGATGTGCAACAAACGCTGGGACACCAAGGATCTGACGCTTTCATTCAATTTTGGTATTTCTTCCAGCAGCCCAACGAAGGAAGCAAACATGCAAGGTTTGGTCATGTTTGTTCCCACTCACTTGCCGGAACTATGTTTTTCCTAGTTTTTCTTTTTGAATCTATCTCTCTCTCTATATAATTATATATATATATATGTATATTCAATTCATTGCATGTAGGTGCTCCACCCTTCGTTCGTCGCTTTGCTGGCTCAGGTACATGGTTCGTTCATGCTGATGCACAATAGCTGGCGTGTCACGCTTGGCGGGTTCATGCCAGTGCTGGAAAGATCGGCGGTCAGTGGAAAGACAAAACAAAATTGCTACTAGTAACAAGGGCACCGCTACTAGTAGCTAGAAGCTATTAGTAACAAGTGCAATCACCGTGTTACCCATTCTCTTGGAACACGTGGGCCATCCAAACCTGCTCCGGCTGCGTGCGCACCTGGCTTCCAAGAGACTAGGGAGAAACTGGAAAAGTGTCTGAAATCAAGCCGGTTCTGCCCATATCTGCCCTGTGCTCCACCAAAGTTACCGTAGCCACCACCACCCCCAGCTGCAGTGTACCTCTTTGGATAGACACTGCGTTTTGCAACCCTCGAGTTTCTTGAAATGCAATCGCCCGGGCTGAAGCATCCATTGGTACGTGTCCGCTGAATGATTATCTTACTTGGCGAGGGCTGCTGTCCGATTCTGTTTAGCGTCAGAACTGGACCTGGCAGGGGATCGTGCTGCTGGCTGTCGACCACGGCTACGGCCTGAACTCCGATGGACTTTCATTATCCAAACATCACAAGTTCAATCAATGGACTTTGCCAAGTTGGGCCAAGCTGCTTCGACTACGGCTGCGGCTGCAGCTTCTAGAGTCTCTGCTGTCACCACAGCTATAACCTGCTGTCGAAATTGAACTTTGCATGGAAATACAAGCAAGGTAAAGAACTTGCCAATCACCTTTGAGGGAATCCAACCGCTCAAGTCAATTGATGCCAGTTTCACTGTAGTCAGAATAGCTTGGACTCTTTCTTCTCTTCTTCTCCTGCTGGAGGCAGAACCAGGTTGTATGCCCCTTGGGCCGCCGGTGCAAAAAACATCAAACAACCTGTCAATATTCGCCTTCTTTTTCTTTTTCGCCTTCTTCTTTTCCTTCTTTTCTTTTTTAGCCTCGATTTGCAGCACTGCCACACAGCCCTTGATGGGACAAAGATTGACAACGCAATTATTCCAAGTTACCCAGACGTCTTATGCAAGAATATATCTGTCCAGGCATGGCTGTAAGCTACAAGTACCTTCTTTTCTTTCTTGCTGTTTTTTTTGCCTTTCTTCTCCTTCTTCTCCTCTAGCTGCATGCACACGTACAACCAACTGCAAGAACTTGGGAAGACACAAATTCGATCAAATTCGCCAAGCAAGACTCTGAAGCTGCCCTGTGACATTCGACGATCAGGCCCGTAGACATGCTGTATTTTGTTCTCCTTCTTCTTCTTTTTCTTTACTTTGTCGGAGCTTTCTTCGCTCTCCTGTCTTTTCACAACAACCAACACTTCCGTGCGCTTCCATTCAACGAAACTCCTCATCTGAGTAGTCTGAATCCACTCTTGCCATTGCAATAATCAAATCTTTGGCTCACAGTGTCGTGAATGAATCTTCATGCTTCTTTTTCGCTGTATTTACAGGACCATGTGTCCAACCACAGAGACAAAGTATCTCATCTTAACAAAACAGAACAGCGGGGCGCTAGCATCCCAGCATCTTCTCCACCAAAACACTTGCTTGCAAGTGATGGACTTTGAGATCTGTATGAACTGAACTATTTCGAACATCTGGCCTCTCTAGCTACGCGCTTGCCTTATTTTTTCTGAAGTACTAAACGTGACACCAGCTGCAGCCAAGCGGTCAAAAGATTGCTGACAGTGTTGACCCACATGCACAGCCCCAAAGCAAGAAATCTAAATGCCCTTGGCTTGTCTTTCTTTTTAAGGCCATTGGCTAGACAGGAGATCTAATGTTTCTTGATACTGCTTTGCAGAAGTTTCAGGATAGCCCACAAAGGGCATTGTGCCGAGCCAGATTGGTCTCAGCCCATGCATCGAGCTTGCTGGAAGGCTGCTCAAATTCCCTCAATTCTCTCTCACCTCTCACCTATTGAACAATAAATGACATGGATGCCATACTCGATAGCATGGAGCTTGATATATTGTATAGGAGCGTTTCTACCTATATCAGTATGGAGCTTGATTTCTACCATGCCATACTTTTATGTATTTGGCATACCATGCTAACAAATCCAGGTCCAAACCTTTCTTTTGTCATGGACCATGTTCACAGTTCTTCCTTTGGGATCTGCACCGATCTGCAGTCATCTTCTCCTCGAAATGGAAAAACAGCTGACATACTGTAACTCTGCAGTTCTGGCAATGCCTTCAAGGCACAAGAACTCGCATTTTCAACAATAAGAGCGTTTTTTGGAGACGCCAACACTCTTTGATCAGATTTGATTGGCTGAAGAACCGCACAATTATCATGGGCTCAGATCAGCAGTTGCCTGGCAAATATTCGCAAAACCAAATGTTTCTTTTTGGCTGTCCGCATCATTGGCTCTCATCGTATTATTCTGGTCTGAGTAGAAATAGATAGTATATATATATAATATGTGTTTCCAGATCAAGCCAGCATGACACGCTCTTCAATGGCAGGCATGCTCTTGCTGGTCTTGCAGATGAAGACCTTTCATCCGTTCGAAGGTATGGTACACACATTTCTTTGTACATTGACCACATACACCAGGACTTAATAGCTCTTCTACAGGAGTTTAATCTGCTTCTTCATCAGAATTCTCTGGCCTGTTCCTTGCTGCTGAGCTTGTATCTCCTTCCAGGAAAAGGAAAAGGAAAGGGCCTTTGCGGTGGTATATCAAAATCATGTCATGTAAAAACGCTAAACAAAGCTAAACATCTGCCTGCCATGGATCGAAACCATCTTGGTTATCATGTTGAACAATAGCAGAACAAACAAACCTTCTGGCCAAGTCCTCTCGGCGAGCTCTTTCGGGCGATAGGTGGCAGAATCAAGGCACACCTGAAACCAAAGACATAAAGGCGCCTTTCAGGGACTTGACATTTTCAACAAGTTCACACCAACCTTCATTGGGAATCTATCTCCAGCGCATTCGTTGGATGCGAAACAAGATGAGACAGAATTGAGCAACGCCTCGGAGGCCCTGGTGCAGAACGACTTCTCTTGCTTGACCTACGTAGTTGGAACACCGCCCATAACAGGCTGTGGTGGTTTGATCTTTTTTGGACATGTCATCGATTTTTTGTGTCATAAACATGGGTTCTGGGGGGTGAGGGGAATAATAACGTCCGTTGTGGATGCATGATAATTTTCCTAATCACGGTGTGTTCCCCGGAAAAGTACTTACACATGGTCCTTCAATGTCAATGTTTCTAGTTTCCTGGGAAACAAATTTCTGTCAGTGTGAAGGTCAAAGGTCACAGAAAGCTTGACCCAGCATTGAAAGACATCATCTTTCAGTTTGTTTTCCGACAGTCTGTGATGCCTGCGACCCCAAAAGAGTTCTACTCAGCTTTGAAAACATTTCTGAAAGCACACGGAGCCTGAAAACAGACGTTTGAAAAGGAGCTTGTGTGGTAATAAACCCCAAATATATAAATAATTACACAACCCTAAAAACTTGCCAACACTTGATAGTCGGGGGCAACTTGATTTGAATGTAATTACGCAATTCAATCCTTGAAAACGCTGAACGAATCTTCCCCAAACTAATTATGTGCATACCAATCATGATGGTGATCAGAATTGCCATTGCGCACCACGGCAGGTTATGGGCGGTCGACCTAGTTGAACGACCCCTTGCTGAGTCGATATCAACGTATATCGGTGGGCCTTGGTGACGACACAGGTGGCCTTGGAAGCAGGTAACTTAAGCGGGACCGTGAGAGCAGTCCTTTAAACATTTTACATGTTGTGTCCCAACTTTTGAGGCAAAATGGAACCCTGAGTCCCATGCTCATTCCAAACCATAGTTTACCAAACAACGCTTGCATGCGGGTAGCTTTTGTAGGCACCACACAAGGAACGTACAAACTAGCTCAACGTGAAACTTGAAGTACTCGCAACTCTTTCCTGCCTGCTTGTTCCATTTGGAGCTGCGCTACCCCGCCTGGAGTCCAAGCCATGCGAGCACATGCGAATTGGGCACCATTCTCGGACAAGGCCAAGAAGTTGAGAGCGCTCGCTTCGGCCGTTACTGAATAATATCAAGAGAATACATTTTGACATTCATGGGGCCAATAGCAAGGTGCCTTACTAGTTACTAGTAGTAACAAGCTACTAGTAAGGCACCTTGCTCTGCTACGGCATTTTAATATTCAAACAGATTTGGGGCCAAGGCGGCGGACGAGGAGGCTTCTCTGGCTTGTCATCCTGTAGCTCAACTGGAACATGCTTGACTGACAGCAATCACAACGCCTGACCCTTTTCCTTGAAACAGGGGTATAATAACATGGTATAACTGGCTATATATAATTGGACTCGTCCGGACTCGTGTTTCATCATCTTTGTAGTGTAGAATGCATGAAACAGAGCTGACATGAGACATGCATGTCATCCACTCGGTCACCAAGACTCAAACCTGTGGCAACATGTCATTTTGTTGTTGACTAGCACACTGGCTTGCTCTTGCTGCAAGCTTCTTCGTCCTTCTTGTCTGATTCTTCTTGAGTTTGGTCACCCTTTCAGATTTGAACAAACAAACTGCGGTCTTGGCTTGGGGGGCATGAGGGTTTTTAGTTGGGACATGGCAGTTGTCAGCTCCTGTTTGCCTACTCGTGGAGGTGAAGAGGACTCCCGTCTGTTTTCCCTTTTCATCGTCTTTATCGTTCTTGGCCTTTGGAATTCAACATCTGGAAATTTGACAGTGCTTTGCTCACTTGGGTCTGCACACACACACAGACTCCTTTGAGAGAACTGTGCTCAATTCGCGAGGTTTGTCAGCAAAACATTCTGTCTGGTATTTAACAGGTCTATATTGCAAAGAAGTCGCATGAGAGGAAGCAACACGCTGTGTCTACAAGCCGAATTCTTCTCGGTAGAGGTACCTTCCAAATCCTTCTCGCCTTTCCGGTCTCAAACTTTCTTGAGTAATCCTCATTCGCCGCCCTAGCTCTCCCGCCCGGCACCATATGGACGTGAATGTCTCTTGCCGCGATTGATTTCATCTCACTTTTTAGGCCTGCAGTTAGTAGCGTCCTTGCTCCTAGTAGTACGGCCAGGAGCCCCTAGTGGCGTCCTTGCTCCTAGTAGTGCGGCTAGGAGCCCCTAGTAGCGCCCTTGCTCCTAGTAGCGATGTTGCCCTTTGCTCCTAGTATGATTTATGTTTTTATGGTGTCTCTGCTCTGATCGCAGGTGCCGTGTCCCAAGGCGGCTTGAGTGATGAAACCAAGGCGTAATTGAATTGAATCTCAGTTTTAAGTAGCGGGAAGTTCGGCAACAGGCGGGAAGGTCCTTTGCAGTAGCCTTTTGAGTCTGCTCCAATTTCGGTTAAAAAGAGGTGCTGACATGTGCTGACACCTCTGCCACTTATATAGTCTGAGTCAATTCTCAGTGCCATGCTAGTACAGAAAGCGCCAAACTATTGTGCGCGTGCATTGTGCATGTATTCCCAATCGTGCATAGTATAGACGTGTATATAGTGACGCATCTTTGTACGCGAGCACATTGAGATAGAGTTAAATGACTGCTAGCGGACGCCTGTCCATTCTCTTTCTTCTTGGTGAGGTGCAACGGCCTCGTTCTGACATCGTTGCATAGTTGAACCCACAACTTGTCTCATAAAAGCAACACGTTGGATCGTATGAGCTTTCAATTCCTCGCGTTGCATTGTTCTACTTGGCTGGGGTGCACGCTTGAAAATGTCCCGCACTCGACTCTCGATTGTCAGCAATTGCCTCAACTGCAGCGTTTTCAGTTTTTGTGTGCAGCTGCAGCATCCAGTGTCTAGAAACATTGGGCCACAACACAACAAACACCATTATATATTCATATATCTTAGCAATCCATATCCAAAGATCTGTGCAATGCACGGACTCCTTCAAGAACGGGCTTCTTCACTTCCCTTTCCTTCGTGTTCTGGTCTGGGTGTTTGGCTCTCGAAGCTTGACAGCTCCTTCGGGTGGTGGCCATGCGCGCTCAAAGTCCTCCAACGAAGAAACATCTTCCTCCACTCTTCCAACGGCTTCTCTATCTCTGAAAGACCCAACCAACTGGTCTGTATGCTCGTATGCCTTTTGGAACTCAACCCATGCTGGTCAAAACTCTTCCTTACCCACCCAGAGGGTGATATCAAGAGACGAGCAGGAAAACACAAGCAACATGTCTAAAACGTGATCATGCTGCTTCAAGCTGCCCAATCAGGAAAGGAGTGGCAACATCTCGAGTGATTCGGCGGCGTAACCGGATACCAAAACATAACCAAACCTCCACTTTTCCTTCCCTGATTTGAATTTATCTGGAACTCGAGCACTGTAAGAAACTGCACGCAATTCTGGCGTGCCAGGGCTCGCCGCCGGGGTTCTTCCGAATTCACCTGAAACTTGCTCCGAAAACCAGATTTGCTCACTGGGCAAGGCCCACTGGGCATTCTTCTCCCAAAATTTTCCAAAAGGGCAGGACTGGGCAATGTGGCTGTGCCTTGGCTGTGCCTTGAAGCATCTTGAAGCTCGAACCAAGCTCACTTCATGGCCCGCTCAAGGAATGGGCTGGCCGCAGGATGCTCAGACTCAGCGACACAGCGTTTTTGAACATGCCCTGCACAGGTTCCCATACACAGGTTCCTGAGCATGTACTTTGCCTTCTACATATTTCTGCATTCCGTGTTCCTCATCACAGGGTTCGGACGAGCTCGTCCAGGATGGTGTTCAATGTGGCGAGGGATTGGCATGCAATCTTCACCTTTGTGCTACAAAAATGTCTCCAGGGTCAGGCCTCCACCCTGGTAGCAATGGCCTCCAACCTAATAGCAATGGCCTACAGCATTGTCATGGTGCTCAAAGGGAAAAGGGACCTGCCGAAGGTCGCATCCCGGTCGGCATCGCACACTCAGTGTCTCAAGATGCCTCTGCAGCCTGCGTGCAAAATGCGTGCCGATAAAGCTGTTTCCTTTGACGTCTTCCATGCTTTCTCGTCCAAGTTGAGGTCCGGAATGGAGTTTGCATGTTGGATCAGCAGTAAGACATGACGACCTCTGATACTGCGAGATGAGCGGACACGAGATGAGCTGAGCTGACAGGCAAGCTTGGGTAATGTGAGGTGATGACAAATGACAGTAAAACCCAACTGAAATGATACAGTTTGTCACTGTGAGAGCGAGATGAGAGGAAGCAAAATGAAAGCGCGATGAGGTAGCCGGGAGAGGGGGGGTCGGAGCTTTTGTGTCGAGTGCAAACACAATGGTATGAACTTGGTGAAGCTGCTATCAATCAAAACGACAGCCTTGCCAAGAAGGATCATCAGTTGTGGAACTTGGGGGCGAAGCCCGGCAATTAAGGGTTCCATCATCCAACCTCTCTTCCAAATAGAATTATATACTCCAGCTAGCTTCTGCATGCTTCTGCTAGCTTTGGTGACCTACCACCTACCAGTGGAAGGCGACTCTTCCTTGCTCGCTGAATTTGGGTGTTGCTTCTACGGCCTTTCTCCATTCAATCTTGGAATATCTTGGACCAACACATTCTGTAGGTTCTTCTAACTAGACGGTAAGACTTGGCGCAGCATCTGGATGTTTTGGCTTTAATTTGGATTTATCATGTGGTGTGTCGTCAATCACTTGTGGCACAATGACAGTTTAATGGCTGAAGCTCCCCCCCCTCCCTCTCTCTGTCGGAGCATGGGAGCAAGCCCTCAGAAGCTTTGAAGCTTAGGAAGACTGCCGATCTATCCAAGGGCTGCCTTTGGGTTGATGTTAGCGGTCTGCAACTTCCGAAACTTAAAAAGCTCTGGCAAGACTCTTCTAGGAGCACCACGTTTGTTCAACTGTTTTGGTATGATGCAGCTTGGAGTCTAAAATAGCTGCACTCAGAATATCTCAGAATTCAGAATCTATTTGGAACCACCGCAACTCAGAAGTGAAGTGGCTTGAAAAGAAATGACAAAAGTCGAAACTGAGGAGTCGAAACACTCTATATAAGCCCATCCAAGAATGACTCGTCTATTCTTGTGTCAGTTGAAAGGCATCCAGGCCTGTGAAACTTCATGGCTAAGTCACCGACCCCCTCAACTCTCGCAGGTAGGAGAAGCGTGTGGCAATGGTCTTTGTCACCCGACTGGCGCTTGACCTCAGTGTGAATGAGGTGCTCATACATAATACATGACCATGGTGAGCGATGTCTGAACAATGATCAGATCAGTTCATGCTCACTTCGCTATGCTTCGTTGCAAACTTTGACATGGAAACAAACACAGCTGCTAAGTACCTATACACCCTGGTACCATGAATGCCCTGAAAACATCCACTGTCCAACGCCAGTCTTACCCTTGTATGCCGAAATGCACAGTTCAATGCAAAGACATGGTTTGCCACGCCATCCTGCTCTTTTAATATGTCACCGGGGTATCGTTCCAAATAAATCAAATAAATGGAAAGGTATGGAAAGGTCTACATAAAGAAACATGGAAGCCACAACATGTTTCGGAGTTTTCATGACTTCCAAGCTTGGAGCCAGAATCAAAACGATTTGAGACTATTTGAGACATGGAACTTAGGAGAAACGTGAGGCAGCTTTGGCGAGAACTATTGGCTTAGGGTTGGATTGAATAATTTCAGAAACAAGGAAGGACATGTTCGACATATCTGCTAACCAGCAGCACCTAGCTTTACCTAGGAGAATTGTTTGCAAAGTGGGCGAGCGGTGAGTGGCATGTATCAGGTCATTCGGTGCCAAGCCTTTGACAAAGGAGGGAGACATGACAACCTGATTACACCATCCATCAAGTCCTTTGAGTTTCTGAAATGGGCCACATACTTTTGGGACAATGACACCTTCGCCGACACTTCCCTAACCTCTTTAGACACCAAATTCAACAACCAATTGTCTATGCTTGGATTTTGAAGAATTTTGGATGATTTTAGTGTTTGCAGGACCTACAACAGAAACACAACAGTGTTGAGACAGTCACATGCATAGACTTCAGTTAAAACACATTGATGCGTTTAGAGTGTGAACGCTTCTTCCTTTTGCTGATTGAGGCTGATCCATGCCGGGTAGATACAAATATATAGCCAAAATGAGAGTTGGCTGTCTACAACATGAACACAAGTACAATACCAATCTCTTGGCATCATGTACCGATATTGCTTTTTTTTTTCACATGTTTTATCTGAGATATCGACCCAGACAGTTGAATTGGACCTGGGCTCTCATAGAGCTCCTCAGAACCGCAGCAACATGCTATATATAATGAGATCGCGACGATCACTGATTGAAACCACTTCAAGAAGCTACTAGTTACTAGGGGCTCCTGGCCTTACTACTAGGAGCAAGGACGCTACTAGGGGCTCCTGGCATCGCTACTAGGAGCTAGTAGCAATCGAACTTGAGGCGTTTCACTATGCTCGCCCAACCCACCCACCTCCGCAGCACAAGCCTCACGCACCTGCGGCGCAGGCAAAATGAAGGACTTGTGGTACTGGCGCTGCAACAGGCCTCTTTCCATGACTTGAATGCGGCAGCTTCCAGGTCGACCTGCAAATGCATATCAAACAAATGGCTCTTAACTACCAAGTGGCAAATTTGCTTTCAAACACGGATGCTAACATGTCACTCCAGCTGAGAGAAGTAAGACTCACCAAAGGATGCCAAAGATTTAATGATAGACATTAAATGATTAGATTGGATGACATGAAAAACAGTTTACAAAACAGTCTGCTTTTGAGTTCCAACCTAGCGGCCCCCAACCTAAGAGCAATGGCCTCCAAGTTCCAAGCCAAAAAACAGTAGTATAATCACAACTACCACCACCTTCATCCTTGCAATGCAGCTTTTGATACAGCAAGATCCACCACCATGGACAGATCCCGTGAAGGTCGTGACACATGAATGCAGTGGTGCTCGACTCACATGAAAAGGCCTTTGATGGGTAGGAACCCGAGACTCAACCATCTGCACACCTAGCTTGGCCATACTTTCCCTTTCGCGAAGCTGCACATGTCAAAAAAGCTTGGCGATGCAACATTCTCCTTGGGAGATTGTGCTGTGAGTGGCTTGGCCACAGCAACATGCCCAAAAATACCGAAACATTTCCAACTGTCAGTAGGGAATCGCGCATCAAATCATAATGGATATTCGGATATTCCTTCGTTCGATACAATTTCGATTGAACCAATCTCCTACTTTTTCACTTCATCCTTCTTTGCCAGCTCACGGCAACCCTGCTGGTCGAGTGATGCCCTGCTTCAGATGCCCACAAATCCTTCGGGGCGACTTTCCGCATGCTATGCATCACCTCGGACAGCTGCAAAGCGGGCAGGTCTTCCCTTCACAGAAGCTAAAGTTGTTTTGTTCCGAATCTGTTAAGTACCACCCGAAGCTGTTAGCGTTCTGCACAAGTCACAGCCCTGAAGTTGAATGGGCCCGAGAACAAACTTGAGCTTCCTCGTCCTTCCGCTCGTTTCTGCATGTCGCGCTGATGCTTTAGGAACCTAAGTCCACAGGACGGCTGAGTTGCAGCATGAACAAGGGAACCATGTGTATTGACTATGGCGCAGCTTCTACAGCTTGTTTGCTGTGTAGCAAACGCATTCTCGCCCAACTTGCGGCTCCATTGCACGCAATGCAACATGTTCATTTCATTTCATTTCCATTTACTCAGGATTCTCCGTGGCCATAGGGACAGCGGCAACGACCCGACGATTGTTCGATTGGAACGCCGATTCCCTGCAGCACCTTTCACTAGGGGGATCACTACTTTATTTGGAAGGGGACCTCGCATCTTTCAGAGCTCGACGTGTGGCCGAGCTCTTTAAGTGGTTGTGACTCCGGAAAGCTCCTGACGGCGAAGGGTGTGGATATCCCAAAAATCGAGTGCAGTGTCTGCAATCAGCCTTCACCCTGAAGAATGTGAAACACATTCAATGGAGGAGGAAACATTCAAGCGTGCTTGACAGAAAAGGGACAGATTCCAACAAAGCAGGCCTTTGGAATTTTTGCCAGCCAGCTTTGGTGGCCCAAACAGTGGATTGGCAAAGGCTGGATTGCAAACGGACGAAGGACACATATAGAATGATATGGACTCGTCAGGAGAAGATTGGAGCCATGTTGGATGAGTGGTTTCAGCACGAGCAACAAATTGAGGACCAAGGCCCATTGACAAATTGTGAACGGCATTTCAATCATTGAATGGCTGGAATGCCTGGAAAGAGAGATTGAAACCGAGATTTGATTTGGGCAAACGGAACGGAGACAACAGAGTTTGACGACAGGACAAATCCATTGATGAACCGACCCCACATCTGCTCCCCGTATACAGTATATATCCCAGTGGAGAATTTGGACCGATCCCAAATACTGAGTGTTAAATCAAACATGTCAGCGTGAAGTCAAGGATCCCCATGAGCGCAACCCGTCAGAGTAAAGTTACCGCATTCGCAAAAAGTCACCCAAACAATCCTGAACCTCCATGAGCACATGCTTCGCAGGTGTCTGGAAGGAGAATAAAGCGCACACTGCAATGAAATCAAGTACTGTAATTATTTTGACCCCCTGTAGGTGTTGGCTCATGACGAAGCATTGTGGCACAGTAACGTTCAGCCCGGGTTCATAGGGTCATGAAACATGGAGTCCTAACCAATGTTCCTACAAAGCACCCGCTCACAGGATACCGCTTAAACCTAGACATAAGATACGACTGAACTCCACACTCCAGTAGCAAAAGGCACAATGGACAAACGAATCCCAAGTCTACAAAAAACATCGAGGCATCTCGCCCAGACGGCATGGGCAGATCAAATCCAACCAGAAGGTGAGATGCCGCGAATCAGGATTCAGCTTAGTTGGCTGCAACAACTCTAACGCCGAGTGAAGATGGACGTGGGGAGACATGAGCACTCTATTCCCAACCACCTGCGACAACACAGGATGCCTTTCACCCACATCGAGACTCAGAAGATATGAGCCAATTTTTTCACCATTATGGATGCACTTTTGAAGCAGCAAGAGCTTTTCATCTGCAGAAGCGCCATGGTGCCCAAGGCATTCCGGTTCACGCAAGGCAGCATTCCTCTTCGCCTATTTCCTGATTGGAAAGGAACATAGTGCATCGGTTTTGGAACAATGAGACCGGACAAAATGCTCAGTCTCGAGAGATAAGAACCGAGCATAAACACTACCACCACTATTGCAGCCTAAACCAATCACTTCCTGCTGAGATATCTCACACTCTCAAATATGGATCAGCCAGCTTCTTGCTGTTCAGTGGCTCCTCGTATAGACCTTCCCTCAAGGTACTGTTGTTCTTCACCTCTTCTGGGCCTTTACAAGCAAGTTAACTTTGTCACTCTCTTGATTGAAGCAGAAGGTATTGAAATGAAAAGCAATATATCAATCGTTCTGGCACATATTGTTTCTAGCCAGGAATCTTGCCTTCTTGCCTTTCCACCTTGATCTCACCCTGTTCCACACACATCCTTATCCAAGGAAGCAAATATATTCCGCATGATAAAACCATTGGTATGGGAAAAATTCCAAGACATTCCAAGACACTGTTGAATGAGTGAAAGGACTCGATGCAATTCGAATCCCAGTTTGTGCACCTCTCTCCTTGGCTAGAAGTACACAGAAGACTCATGAGGGCTTCGGACGGTCCAAAAAGTAGCCAGGAATGCCAAGCTTCTGTAGCAAAGCTGTCTCAAGAGTAAGCGTCTGCAAGTCTGGCCGTGACACTGAGCCCTTCATCTGAACTATGTGCGCCACAAATTCATCAATGGAAAGCTCTTCTTGCCCGGTGACTGATGACAACGTATTAAAATAGTGCTCCGGCATCCGGATATCTATGCCAATTGTGTGCAAGGCATGCTCAAACATGTCATCTTGCATAGCATCTATAACCTGTCTTGTGGAAAGAATGCCAGAGCCATCCACATCCATTGCTTCCAAGATTGCCGTCACCTCCAACAGGAGATGTCTAGTCTTGTGTACTGTACTACCATCAAACGAGTTGCAAGTCACGAGCTCGAATGCAGTTTCTTTCAAAGCATTACAGCTCAGGCCTGTTCAATGTCCTCTTGAACTTGTCGCATAGACTCCTGCAATGCCTCAGAAGCGATCTTGAATTTGGACAGAGATACAGTCCTCAAAATACCCAACCTCGCGATCGTCGGGCTTGAAAAGCACCGATGCGTTCTCCACAAAGACGCCTGTGATAATATTGAGGACCTGTTCCAGAACTGAACCGAGCAAGTGGCAGAACAAACGATCAACAACCAAAGGCTCACATTCCCAGGCTGAGTCTGGTGCTCCCAATGTAAAAAACAGGAGGTAGAATGTGAAGGCCTTGGAGCGTCAAATCGTTGAGCCACAACCCCTCAGAGAGTGTGTGTGCCCCCCATCCTGCGACAAGTCCAACATGCTTTGCGAGGTTTAGCCTGGAAAGGGGGGTGCGGAATGGACTGAGGCCCAGCGGCTTTTGGAAGCCAATTTTTCAATGAGTTTGAACGATTGGGTTTGGGAGTGACAAAACCTGGCTCCGTAGCAATGCTTTGGTACTGCTCGGAAGCCATGTCATATCGAGAGGAACTCTAATGCCGCTCAGTGGCTACGGTACAATCAGCGCCCAAAGGAGCGAGAAGCAAATACCTTGAACCGAAGCAAGAAAAGACATGAAAAGCAGCGAGCAGCACGGCTTTCTAATCCTTCCTTGGGCAGTTGTTCAGATTGTCTTATTATCTTGCCCCGTCTTTCCTTCGAGCGGCACTTCTTCCCACTCCTTTCTGCCAGTTGTTGCCATGAGCAGAACGTACATGGCACGACCAGTGTTCTGAAAGTAGTCCAGTTGCAATGACCACAGCTCGTCATCAGATGGGGTTATAGAGAGGTATGTTGTCATCTGCTGCATGAAGTAAATAGCAAACATAAAAATGATCACGGCCAGCATAAGCAACGCCCAAAATAGAGATAGGAATGAACCCAGTATTGCCACAAGCATGACCCGGACTTCTTTCAAGTAGCGAAGAACGCGTACGATTCGGAAAAGCCTCGCCAGTCTCAGCAATCGCAGCAGGCCAACTTTACCAACTGCCCCTCCCAGAAGCAATGCTTGATCGACATATGCCAGACACAACAAGCCAGTGTCCATCAGGTTCCATAACCAGTCATCATTCACAAAGAAATAGAGCCGATGTACGAACATTCTGAGAGCAATCTCCATGGTGAATAATGCCAAGAAGCAAATCTCAACCGCGGTTTCATCAAATTCCACAGCTTGCTGCCCAAGCGTGGCCATGTGGTAATTTGTTTCGTAGGCAATGTAAATGCTATTGGCCACCACTGTCAGCAAGACTGCAGCCTCGAAAGCTTGATGTCGAATGGCTTGGCCAAGGCATGAAGTCCTACGCGGCTCCTCAAGCTTGCTGACCCATTCACGGAACAACTCCAAAACCTGATATATCTCTCCAAAGCAAGCGCCAACTCCACCGGCTACCCGATCCAACCATGGGCAACTCTTGAGTGCTTTGTCTGAATTTGCACGC